TCCATGGTGATGTAGACAACCAATTTCTAAAATGACGCCACAATGTAAAAACAAGTGATAGTCAGATGAAACAAATTGTATTCTACAGCCAAAGAGTTCCATTTGTAAATATTGTAATTACTTTTTAAATATTGTTTATGTAAGTAGCCAGTTCCGGAAACTTTTAGTGCACCCTAGGTAGTAACAAAAAAATGGAAACAAGGAGTAACAAAAAATAACATTTTATTCACAAAGTTTCACTGGTTCCTAACATGTAATAAATTAATACATATTGTTTGTACATATTTACATATTATAACTTATTATTCATCCTCATTATCATTATTAAAAAATTATGTCTATCTTCTCCTTTTTCATGTGTCTTACTTTCTTTTAAATATATTTATTTTTCTCAAACATAATTTTTGTTATTTTATTTTTATTTTATAGTTTTGTCTTGCAGCTTAAGTAAATAACTTCAAACTGCTAAAGCCTGTGGTAAAGTAGTTCCACAAGGACCTTCAAAGTAATAATGGAAGTCTGGTGTAGCTGGTGTAGGTTCAATGTTAAATTCAGCCACTATGGCGCCTCTCTGTGCGGCTTGGGGTGCAAACATTGCGGCAGGATAGACCACTGATGATGTGCCAACCACGAGGCACACATCACACGTTGACATTGCTGACCCTGCAAATAATATTGAATTAACATGCTGTTCCAGTATTCTAGTAGGTATATAAGTAAATCTATCAGTTATAGTATGGACCGATAAATCAAGAGGACTGATACTCGCGATACAAGATGGCGTAGCCGAGTATTTAGTATTATTTGGTACACGTTTGGTACATGAGCCCGAAGACAAAAGTTATCTCTTCTTCGATAACAGTTCCAAGAAGAGATAATTTGTCTTCAGGTTCTGCTAAGCCTGCAGATGTCGCGACGAGCACCAAATACCTATTTTTGTTCAAAGCCATTCTAATTTTTAGTGATAACATACAAATCAACTAGATGGCGCTTATTGCACAGATTTTTATAGATATGCTGGCAATTCTTTTTAATTTTTTTAAGATTAAGTAGCGCTATCTACCCATATTATTAATAATAATGATAACGGCTTTATTGCCGATCCATTCCTCGAATGTTATAATTTGTATTATAAGTTAGTAATACCTAATTGATGCTGTAAAGTTAACAAGTTCCTTTAAGACAGAAAGATCAGTTATTTAGTAGGTAGAGGAAATTATATTTTGCTTTTAATAAATTAATAAAACATCAGAATCTCATCATTATTTCAACCTAATGACATCCGCTACTGGAGATTAGTTTGTGGGTCAGGAGGAGGAAGACCTGTTACTGGCAGTGACATTGGCCATTTTGCGTTTCTGGCATAAAGCGTCAAAACGTAATTCATTAATAAAAAATACAAAACATAACCATTCTTAAATTAATAGCAAAAATAATAGACCTAAATTGCCAATTAAAAATTAATATTAGGGGTTAAAGTATGAAATTGCCGTTTTATTGCAATAGGTTCTTTGAATTTTCATAGAATCTTCATGGTTTGAGGTTTTCGAATGAAACTTTTTTCAAATGGTTTCTGTGATTTTTTTTTTAAATTTGAAACATTTGAATATCGACTTTCAATTGTTTTTGTTATTCAATTTAGACAAGAAAGATGGATACTGCGAAAATTCGAGTGATTTTTGAATACGAGTTCCGACGCGGAACTAACGCGGCAGAAACAGCCCGCAATATCAATGCTGCGTTTGGAGAGGGGTCTACTAATGAACGCACCGTGCGATTTTGGTTTAAACGCTTTCGTGATGGAAATTTCGACTTAAAGAACGAGCCACGAGGAAGACCGCCCACACAGGTGAATAACGATGAATTAAGAGACATAGTGGAAGCCGATCCTAGTCAAACTACCCAGGAATTAGCGGCATGGTTTAACGTTACCTTACCCACAATATTGACTCGCTTGCGTCAAATCAATAAAATAAAAAAATACGAAAAATGGGTGCCTCGTGATTTGACTGATCTGCAGAAAGAAACGCGTGTTGAAACTTGTGTTGCCTTGTTGAACCGGTACAGAAATGAAGGAATATTGGATCGAATTGTAACATGTGATGAAAAGTGGATTCTTTATGATAACCGGAAAAGAAAAATGCAATGGCTGACCCCAGGTCAAATGCCACAACAGTGTCCTAAAGCAAAACTTACCAATAAAAAGGTAATGGTAACTGTTTGGTGGTCTCAGCATGGTGTTATTCACTATAGTTTTCTCCGATCTGGTCAAGCAATAACGGCAGATGTCTATTGTGCCGAACTCCGAACCATGTTGACAAAACTAGCAGTAAAACAGCCCCGACTCATGAATCGATCTTCACCATTATTGCTCCACGACAACGCGAGACCTCACACAGCACGAGAAACCATTTTGACCCTTCAGGAACTGCAGTTAGAAACCATTCGTCATCCTCCGTAATCACCAGACCTTGCTCCAACGGACTACCATTTTTTTCGTGATTTGGACAATTATCTACGTGACAAGAAGTTTTCTTCCCAGGAGGCGGTACAAAATGCTTTCACACAGTTTGTGCAGTCTAGATCGTCGGAGTTCTATCGCAAAGGCATTAATAACCTTCCCATTAGATGGCAGCAATGTATAGATAATAATGGCAACTATTTTGATTAAATAAATTTGTTAAAAATTTAAAAAATAAACAATTTAGATTTTCAGTACAAATCGGCAATTTCATACTTTAACCCCTATTACTTAAGATAAATAGTTTCAATTTTTTTTTGTTTTTAATTTCAATTCATTATAAGTCTGTTGTAGTGTCTGTACAACATTTATCTATAATTATAATAATATCTTTATTTATCTCCACAACACAATACAAGGAAACGTTACAATTACAGTAAATATACATTATTACGTAAGCTTAGAGTAATGTATTGTGGGAGACTGGAGCCCAAACTAAGCAGAGCTTGTAATATGGGTCTCCAGGCACCCAACCCCTAGGATAGTCATGTTAGTAGTAATGTCGAAATACAAAGTACTGAGGAGGAAGTAAAAAATAAGTATAACAAACTATGCGTGCGCGCGTGAGTAAGTGAGTGTGTCTGAGTGCGTGAGTGACTGTGTGCCCGAGTGTGTGAGTGCTTGTGTGTTTGTGAGTGTGGAAGTGTGAGGTTATTTGACGACTTTTAGTAGATTTTCAGTCTCATCGTAGTTAAGGAGCAAGAGATATCTGGTCAATTTTAGTTTGCATTCGTATTTGGAGAGTTCACAAAAAGGGGATATATTATTTATATAATAAATTAAATGATTGAATGAATATAAACATAATTACCTCCATATCATCAACTTCTCTTTCGACATAGGCCCTCTCCAGAGACTTCCAGTTCTCCCTGCCCTGTGCCTGTCGTCGCCAAAACGCAACAACATCTACCCATATTAGGAAGCGTTAATTTATAAATTAGTTTGTAACACACAATGCCATCTATTGACACGCATATTTGTCAAAGTTTAGAAAATGATCAATATTTGTTTAATGTTACCGGGAAAAAACGGACTTTTATATTTCATGTTAAAGTGGCATTATTTGATAACCGCCGCCATTTACATCATAATATAAACTACTTCCAAGGCTATCGATTAGCGCCATCTAAATATAAGACGGAATTTTGAGACTTGCGACCTGTAGTACACACACAGAGACACATATAGAGATTAATAGCAGTCCTCTTCAGTTGTTGGTCCATGGTTATAGGGACTTCATCAATATTTCGGTAACTGGTAAGCACTCAGCAGTATATAAAGAAGTGCCCAGTTTGATTCCCAGTAGGGTGTTTTGGGTAGTACCCCAGAGTTAATTTTACTAAACATATGAGAGTCAATAAATATGGTGACTCCCTTATAAGTAACCATAAGTATTTAAACATACCAGCTTTTTCCAAGACAGCTGGTTCTAAACCTTCTCCAAACCAGACTATGTGTGGCCTTAGCAGACCCCCGCAGGTTGTTTTCTTGCAGTGTGGTAATGAATTTACAGGAATATCTGACCCTATAAAAGTAGAATCTGGGTCTCCCCTATCAGATAAGGCCTGAAAATTAAACAAAATGCCTGATATAAATCAAAATATAGAATGTTTCTGTAAGGTGCAGGTACCAAGCATGCTCGTGATGCCTCCAAAGTAAAACAAGTAAGCGAGCTATTACTTGTTTATTTTTTTATTCAAATACAAGTGCACATTCGACCTCTATTCCACGTGATGGAAAGTGATGATGAGGTTGATGATGGAGCATGCACACCTAAATTATGCCTTTTCACTCTCGCCTGGAAAAGGTCCAAGTCATAACGTTCAGGGAACAAGTCTGCAGGCAGGGGATTCCACTCCATAGCCGTTCGCCATATAAATGTGGAAGTGTAACTCTTTGTGTGAATGTTTGGAATATCCACCACATAGGGGTGGAAGCCAAGCTTTCGCCTAGTCCCCCGGTGATGGAAATGAGAAGGCGGAATTAAATCGTGTAATTCCATCGCACACTCTCCGTGATATATCCTGTAAAATACTGATAAGCAGACAACTTTACGGAGGTGTTCAAGGCTCTGCAGCTTCGCCTCTACTAATTCCGAGTCACCTATAAGCCTCTTGGCACACTTGTCAATTGAATCCAAGGTGGCCAGTTGGTACGTAGCAAAGCCATACTAAAGTTGGTAGCAGTACTCCATACACGAACATACCACATACTTCCCAACATAATTTATAATTAATTACAACATTTCGCCGGCTTGTCAGAACAACATGTTATCTATATATGTCGATGCTTTAGAAATAAAACATTGTTCTGGCAAGTGGGCGAATTTGTACCAGAATTTCCAATCATTGGCGAAAATATAAATGTAATATCCTGTTTTGATTGCCTGCCTACTAGAGGGTATTGATGGCACGATGTGTAATATGTCTCACTAACAAAACAACCATTCAATGGTAACTGGCCACTATAAGTTGATGCCATAAATGATGGAACACTATATATTTGAATTACCTATGCTGGCGAAAAGACAAAGAATTTACCTGGGATAAGTCTGCCTACAAATATATGTGACTTACCTCACAAATAGGACTGTCTGTGTTCACCAATACCTCTTTGCACTTAGTACATCTAGTCTTGTACAAGTTACCATGGAGTTCAATCAGATTCTTAGAACCAGCTCTTCCGTGAAGGTTGTCGACATTCTGAGTTATTACTGTTATTTTCTTTTCTGTACTACATTTTGCTTCAAACTCTGCAATGGCTATGTGACCCTGATAACAAATGATGTTTTCAACATTACAACATTAACATTCAATAATGCATAATATATACAGCTTAAGTATGTGCATTCAAAATTGAACTCTATTTCAGAACAGTAGTCATTGACATTTTAAGTTTCAGTGTAAAAAATCACAGAATAAAGATATATTCAAAATCCATACTAGATGTAGCAGCGTTTCCAAACCTGCGATATTTAGACCCCTAGGGGTACAAGAGTGAGTCCTGGGGATTTGCAATTTTATTTGAGAGCTGCAGGTTAAAAAAAATTTGATTGCAAAAAATTGGTTTCAGAATTGATTTTTATAAAAGTATCGCGACATTTTAGAAGGTTCAGAATGGCAGGTTTTAGGGCAAAATATACATGTAAAATATAACGCCTAAATTACTTAAACGAAGTATAAGGTACGTAAAAATTAAGCAAACAAAAAAAATACCGCATTAGGTTGCGCTTTAGCTGCTACTTCTCTTCTATAGTGATAAAACTCCCAAACCAAACTTGGGCTGCTTTTAAAAGCACCTGGTGTCGCCAAGGATTGCGAATTATACTTCCTCCAGAAACCACCTGCTCCTCTAAACGTTGGGATTCCAGATTCTGCACTAATACCGGCTCCCGATAAAATTACGACTTCTTTCGCAGATTTCAATGCTTCACGAAACTTTGCCATATCACTAGACTGTCTTACCGCCATAGTTGATTTTATACTACGAACTGCGATACTACTGTATGTTCTTAGTAAACTAATGCACATATTAAACAAGCGGACAAAGGTGAATCTGTTTAATTACTTAATGCAAAAACAGTGATTATATTACGGACTAAAATGAAAACAAAGTTAGATAGCGTTCTTACACTATTTAATAATAATCTGGATACCACATCCACAGATAAAGCGACAATTTTGGAAAATAAATATATATTTTTTGAAAAACCATTTAATGCCACCACCACTGGCATTGAATGATTTCTAAAAAAATGTGAGACATTTATGATATGTTACTTTTCTGAAAAAGGTTAACTTTTAATTTCAAAAATATTATCTCAACTGAAAGTTGATGACGAAATAGTATTTGATCGCTTCTGCTAAGACATTATCGCAATGTGTAGCCATTAATAATAAAAACTTGACGTGTTTTACGTGTTGCCATTTATCTACTTATCTCATTAGCGGATTTAAATCTGTTTATGTGCAATAAAACATTTGACGAAATGGTGTCTTATATTGGCATCAAGCCAAAGCTATTGGTAAAGTTTTCCCAGATGGTCCTTCGAAATAATATGAGAAATCCGGCGTGGCGGGTGTTTTTGCAATGTTGAATTCTGCCACAACAGCTCCCCTGAGAGAGGCCATTGGCGCAAAAAGAGATGCTGGGGTGACAAGCGACGACGTGCCCACTACTAAGACTACGTCGCAAGTTGTCATTGCTGCATCTGCAAAAAAAGGTAATATTAAAAGAAAAATTTATACGATTAGTTGATACCAATACGAACGAATGGATCTTTAAACAATACCGTATGCGTATAAATTAATAATTATATAAAAAAGAATTACATTATCATAATTATTGTAAGTATAATAGAAGCACTGCTATGTTCGATGTCTTATTTAAAGAAAACGCGTTGAATGTAGTTTAAATAAGCTCGAGGCTTTACGTGGCTTTATCAGAAATGTAATAGATCTATACACCCATTTCATGAGTAAATTTTAATTATTTTATGACAGACTGACCGTAAGGCGTTGTAGTGGTGAAGTCAATGAGAAATCTATTGAATGCATATACATGTTTTTCTATTGTCAGTACTTAAACAACTACGTTAATAAATACCAGCCCTCTCCATGACAGAGAGTTCTAACATTTCTCCAAACCAAACTATAAACGGACGGAGTAATCCACCACAATCTGGTTTCTTGCAGTGGGGTAGGTCTTTTATTGGTATGTCGGAACCTTTGAAATCTTGGTCAGGAGCTCCTCTATCTCTAAGTGCCTATAAAATATAAAGTAAACTTAATTTTCTCGAACAAACATATACGAGAGTAGTCATTCAATAGGGTGTCTACTTCTCTTCTCCGTCAGACCAACGTCGAATACTCGACCAAATTTAGATGCTTGATGCGAATGCTTCTTATATGACATCGTCTTTGATTTTGTAGGGTACCTACCTATTACCTATAATTGACAATAATTGTTTCGGACGACGGACGGAAAAAGAGAGTAAACACTCAGATTCCACAAAGAGGTGAGTACAGACTTAAGTAGCCCCAAAAATTCGCAAACTGAAGTGGAAAAGGACAGGCAGACCAAACCACAGACAATAAATATAGCAGAAGTGGTTAGTTAGCGTGCGTCTAACGCGTGCCAAGTGGTCTCGAGAAACCTCTCTGAGCTCAATCCGCCATTTTCGCTTTGTATGGTACGGTTGTGTCATTCTTTCTTGCAAATTCTCTAAAACCCTAGAAAAATGCCTTATTGTGCTGTTTTGGAGTCCAAAAAGTTTTCGAGTGGCAACTATAGGATGGACGACGTAGTATGTATTTAAAATTGCATGCCAAGGTTGTACAATGATTACGGAGGATGATAGGCCTCTATACTTTATTCCTTAGTTTTATGGTCTATGCTCTTATTTTTAGTTAGTTGTTATAATAGTATAGTTAGTTTATATTTATAACCCAGAAAGAAAAATCCACCCGCCTCAAGTTGTTAGTGAGATTGGCTAGAAATGAATTCATTAAGCGATAATTGGGATTATTTTCGTGTAGGCTACACTGCCACACCACACATGTCGTTGATCTCGTGCGCCAGAATAAGATACTTCCTTTTTCCCTTTTTTTATTAATATTAATATAGTGTAGGATGGTCACACTTTGGTGAATCAATGAAGTACACTGCGACCCATTGAGATGCTCATGCGGCATATATTTACATAGGGCGCACTATAAGTTTCTGGAACTGGCCACTTACATAAACAATATTTAAAAAGTAATTACTACATTTGAAAATGGAACTCTTTGGCTGTAGAATACAGTTTGTTTCATCTGACTGTCACTTGTTTTTACATTGTTGCGTCATTTTAGAAATTGGTTGTCTATATCATCATGGATTTATATCGTAAAAATTTTCGTAGTATGATTTTCTACGACTGAAAGTGTAATTTAACAGATCAGCGGAGCTTCGCTCGGCTTCAAACTGCTGTTGGCGATGAAGCACCATGAAAGACGACTATTTATAGCTGATTTGCAGAATTCAAACGCGGTCGTGTGAATCTCAGTGACAAATTTCGTGACCGTCGCCCGTCCACTGCTGTGAACAACAAAAGCATCAATGCTGTGCGCCGTATGATCAAAACAGACAGGCATGTGATATACCATGGGATTAGGGGCAACATTAGGCATAGGCATGAGTCAAATACAATCAATACGACACAAACATTTAGGTGTGAAAAAGCTGTGCTCTCGGTGGATACTGAGGCTCATAAAACGGATCGTGTCACTTGCTGCAATGCCATGCTTACCAGATTCAACGAAGGGGCGTCAAATTTGGTGTGGGACATAGTATTAGGTGACGAACATGGATTTATAGTTACGATCCCAAAACAAAGCAGCAATCGACCGTTTGGGTCTTTCGAGATGAGCCGAAACCAACCAAAGTGGCGCGCGTATAAAGTGCCTCTAAGCGGATGATTGGTTCTTTTTTTAATAAAACTGGACACGTGGCTACTGTTGCTTTGGAGAATCGTACCGTGAATAGTGATTGGTACACGACCATTTGTTTGCCGGAAGTTATTGACAAACTCCTTAAAAATAACCGTAAGCACCGTATCATCTTGTACCACGATAATGCCAGTTGTCACACGACCAGACAGACAAATTAATTTTTGAAGGTGAACAACGTTGACCATATGAGCAATCTCGCGTGCAATCCCGACCTGGTACCTTGTGACTTTTATTTATTTCCAAAAATTAAGAACCAGTTACGCGGTCTACGATTTTCATCTGAGACTGTCGAAGAGTATGAAAAATATGTTTCAGAGATTGTCACGGAGAATTGGCATAAATGTTTTCAAAATTGGTTCATTGGTAACATATTGGTAAGAAAAAGTGCATTAACGCCAACGGAGAATATTTTGAGAAACAATAAATTCATTTCTGACCATTTATAGTATTTTTTTCTTATTCATTCCGGAAATTTATAGTGCGCCTCTCCTATTATACTTACCGATGCCCGAATAAATACGTACTACGTGCACATTTGTTAAATATTTTTTTATACACTTAACGTTAATTAAATGGAAATTTAAAACGTTTCAAATTTAAAATTCAAAACGAAACGTTGGTTTGTTAAAAAAACGAATACAATAATACATTTAATCAAAAAGTGGCTGACTTGTAAGCTAACGTGGAAAAAGATTATCTCTGAAACAGCCGAAACGGTGAAACTTTATTCTCATAAGAATGATAAAATTCACATAAATGAGCACGTCGACTAGCTAGAGTACATAATACACTGCATACGCGAGAGTGCTGCATTGTTTATTTACAAAAAACTAAATAAATTAGGCTAATATTAAGAAAAAAACTTTTTTCATAGGATTGGGGTATAATATGTAGGTATTACATATTACATACTATTACCTCAATGTTTGATAGTGCTGTTTTTGTTATGTTGATATGGGTAAATTTGAAACATTGAAACATTATAACAGCTTCCAACCCGTGCGTCGTTAAACACAGATCAGCGGTGACTAGAAGTGACAAACTTTCGAGTAGGTAGAGATTTATAGTACGAAATACTGTACATGTTGTTACATTTCATTATTTTGGATTGGATTTTAAACAACTTTTTGCTTGTAGGTAGTTGGTTGTCAATTTTTGCTCTTCCATAAGCAATATTCATTTTGCTAATAGTTTGTCCTAGTCACGTAGACGTAATACAAGTTTATTTGTATTTCTTAGACGCATCTTTTTAACCGACTTCAATTCGACTGTATGTTCTTTTTTTTGTATATATGTTACGCGACAACTCCGGTATTTGTGAACCGATTTTCATGATTTTTTTTTGTTGGAAAGGGGGTACTTCCATAGTGGTCCCATTTCATTTTGAAGAAAATCATCCACCTCGAAGGGTGGCTGTTCACGCATGAAGATTCGTTTTTATAAATAGCGCCTAAACTTTAATTTAGGTTTAATGGTTGATTTTGCTATTTCTCCAATTCAAGGCGTTTTTCTCTCAATATACTTTGAGTAGTGAGAATTGATTTTTATTATCTCCAGTGTCAAGTCCTGTATAGTGGCGAACTAGGTGATATTTCAATAAAACCTAATTCCGTAATTCCATTCCAAAAAAAAAACGTAATTCCACGTACTTTTGAGGTCGGTTTTTTTAGTACTCTGTACTGAGATTATATTTTATTTAAAATTAATATTTGTAAGGAGCTAAACCAAAGACATTTATTTATGTGTATCTTCAGATTTTATTTTTCGTGTTAGCACACATGGGTATAAATAGTGACAACACTCAATAAATTAGTTTCTTTATATATATAATTTCAAAGCTGGTGTTAGACACTCATAATTAAACAATATTTGAATAAGCTCATTTTGCAATATTTGTAATAGATTAACATTAGTTTCAGCTGCTGAGCCCTAGATTCCGACCAAATAACGTCACGTGGGTTTCATTAATTAGTCTTTATAGAGTACCTACCGTACATTACGTGGTAAGCAACAAACTACGCCGCGGAAAGCGCCATTCAGTGACGTTGTTATAGATTTAATTACCACGATGTGCGGCTTCCAGGTTAAGCGATTATTAAGAATATTTTTAAGTGGTACAAACTTTGATTTTTTTTTAAAATAAAGTCAAGTGACGGGACGAACAAGCATTGTACCTGATGGTAGGCTACACGCTTGTCCGTAACAGTTGCAGTGCCACTCAGAGCTTTAAATCGCAAAGATTTGAAGGGCACTGCCACTGCGCCCGTCACTCTACATAAGTTGACGAGTCCCATGTGCCTGTAATTTCGCCAGCACTCTTACCCTTTAAAACTGGAGCACAGTAATGCTGATATTACTGCTTGGCGGCAGAAATAGGTAAGGTGGCAGTACTTCCTTAGACGAACTCTTTCACAAGGAGTTTTACTGCTGCTAAAATTGATATTATATAATGTTTTTAGTTGACAATAATACCCTAATACTTATTGCGTTTTGGCAATATTAAGACGTAACGTTGAGATCGTTCGGAGCATACTGTGCGATGGAAACCATATTCAGACCAAAGTAAAATAGGCTAGTATGGTTGATATCGGCGAGATATTTCAATGCGAGCCTACATTTTAGGAGGTGCGGTGTGGGAAGCGTTGGGTCACGGATAAATTTCCATTTTGAAAAAATCATATTTTTCCCCACATTTGACGTACTGAGGGAAAACGATTGAGCCACTAAAAAGATTTTTTTAGCTATGGTTCTCTCTTTTTTCTTTTGTTCAAGAAGCTTGAAGCTTCTTGCTGTTGTCCAATCATTTAAATTTCGGTTTATCTCTAACTTGCTTTTAGCTACACAATTTTATATTTTAATTTATGCTAAATAAAAAATCAAAAGATATTTCTAAACGAAGAACATAACATGAGCCTTCGAATCATAATTTAAAATTTTTTCAACTTTTTAATAATCTTTAAAATTTTCAGAAATATTTATAAAAAAAAATATACCACTATTTCAAATTTTTCGGAAAATTAACCAACTGGTATACGCGCAGATGACGCACGTTTAGGGAGCCACTGAATTTGTTAACGTATGTAAAGGTTCTTTCGCTCGTGAATTGATCTACCCAGTAGAGTCGGTTATTTTTACGTTTCAGTTTACGCTGAAAATAAGATACTTACACTATGTTACTACTTACGCAGTGTTGTCTCAACCGACGCCATTGTACTACTACTGCAGAGGAGTTTCTTATCAAAATGAGCGATACGAATTTGTGAACATGTGCAAAGGTTTCCCCGTTGCGACTGCATCGGGCTTGAATCGCGTTTGAATCGCGTATACGCGCGTCATCTGCGCGTATTCGGTACGTATAAAGTAATAACCATGTGAATAGGCACTTAGGAGGAAGCCTTCGGATTCAAAACCTATTCACCTCGCAAATTGGACTGTCAATATTAATAGCGACATCTCCACATTTAGTGCATTTGGTCTTAAACAGATTCCCATGAAGCTCGACTATGTTCTTAGTACCGGCTCTTGTGTGGAGGGCGTCCACGTTCTGTGTGATCACTGTTACTACTTTAGACTTTGCGTGCCTTGCTTCGAAATGTGCTATGGCTTTGTGACCCTGGAAAACATCTGAGGTATTTATTTTAAAGCATATTTTCAGGAGCCGGATAGGATTCCGAAATGTTTCGCAATTGCTTTAAATTTTTTGATAATAAATACATACATTACAAAATACATTACTTTGAAATTTACCATGAGCTTTACGGTGAAGAAAAATATCGTTTTGAAACCTGCACGTATACTTATAAGTTTGGCTATAATATCGACGGTATGGCCGATGATATTTATGGCCCTAAAATATATAACCAGTAGTTTTCATGGCTCTGTCGTACGTATATTACTTTGTAAATTAAGCGTGAAACACACCGACAGCGGGTGTGTGTCGGATGGGGAGCACGCGGCTGTAATTCCGTGTATTTATTTCGACGACATCAAACCACGAGCGGGCGCGGAACGGCGCAGGTCGGGTCCCGTGCAAATATACGGAACTACACCCGCCGTGCTCCAGACCCGACACGCACCCGACCCGCACCTGCTATCAGTGTGTTTCAGGCTTTATTGCATACAGATGCAATTATTTTTTAACATGACTAGGTTTTAGCTTAATTATGGTTGCTAGTATGAATTATTATACAAAAGTCTACCGGATTAGGTTTGGCCTTTCTTGCTAACTCTCTTCTATAGTGATAAAACTCCCAAACCAGACTCGGATCGTCTCTGAACGCCCTCGGTGAAGCTAGTAAAGTTGGCGGCCATTTTCTCCAGTAACCCTCTGGTCCACGGAAGGTGGGTATGCCAGATTCGGCACTAATACCTGCACCTGATAAAATCGCAACTCCTTTGGCAGCTTTCAAACTTTCACGAAATTTTGCCATGTTACTGGTATCTCTAGTAGATAACCATCTTTGGCCTTTCGATATCGAGTTGTTACGGAGTAATGAAGCTAATCTGAACATTTCTAAACAAACGGGTGCTTCTCGTAAAACACTTTTAAGCTGAGTTCGTGTTGTTTTTGGTTAAAACTTGTTGATCTAAGATCATACATTGTAAGCTCGTGTACGATGTTAAATATAACAAATAATTAAGTAACTAGGTAAGAACGTATATACGTAAACTTCACGTAAATAAACCAGGCTGAATTACAATTTAGTTGTAGCATTTAATAGTCTGTGGTTGTTTTCAAAGTATTTTTTTTAATTTTCACCCATTTAGTTGAGGCTAAGGTTTCACCATACAGCCTCTTCATAAAAATTCTATCCAACTTTGTATTAATGGAAAAGGCGACAAGCGCCTGTTCTGTAGTTTAATTTTTTGGGTTTATTTCAAACATCATGAAGGGTGGGTATGAAGGAAGGGGATGTATAAGGGTAGATGTAATTGTATGACAGGATAAGCTTCTATGTTTTTCAATCTATACGTTTGTTTTTTTTTTCTTATTTTTCGTGGCTTTTCGCGGTTAGCGTTTCAGCCACTTACAGGTTGTTTTACGAGGTAAAAACTCATGGTAATCCTCTAAGTTCATGGACTATGTTATGTATAGTTTATGTTACTTATTAAGGATCTGTTTGTGACATTAACTTGTCTTGTACAAAAGTGTGTATGTTTGTTGTTTTTCTTCTAACTTTAATTTGCAATTTCTTTGTTTTATAATACCAGGTGACGGGACGAACAAGTCGTGGGCTTCATGCGACATGATAGATAGATAGATATGATAGATAAAACGTTTATCGTCTTGCATCACACACACAACATTATAATAGAGTAAATTGATTAAAAGAGACACACAGAAATCAAAATTAAAACGAAAAAAAGCATAAAAACATAATACTAACCTAATTATCAACAGCTTGTGTGTGCTAAAGCAAGCCAAATAGGTCGTGGCTCAGTGCAAAATTTGCTCAAGAGCAAGGCACTGATTTTCAGCCATCACCTTCGAGGGTAGCGCGTTGCGGTGCATCAAAAACAAAAACATTGTGAGGTGAATGTAGCGTGCTTATGTTAGTATCACGTGAGAATTATGTACATTATAAAATATAAAAAAAAAATTAGTAACTGTAAAAAATTAAAAAATTAAAATTTAAAATAATTGTAATACAAATTCATAATTGGTATAATTAAAATAAAATAATAATCAGTACTTAATATCGATGAAAGCCATTGTAACATAAAATGATAATAAATGTCCATGAAGCAAGGGGACTTTATTCCAGAAGCCTCCGCTATGTAAAGCGTTTAGGAATACCCAGTTTTTGCCTATCAAAAATAAATTCCCTCAAATGTTTTTTAAACGTAAACTTAGTTTTAAGGAGTCTTAGAGGGGGTGGAATATAATTCCAACACTTCGTTGCTTGATAGCGGAAGCATATGCATAAACATGCTTGTTCATAACATTTGCAGTGTCATTCAGAGCTTTAAAGATCGGAGGGTCACTGCCACTGCGTCCGTCTCCCTGGGACATAACTTGACAAGCCCCATGCACTTGTAATTTCATCAGCACCCCTACCCTTCGAAACCGGAACGCAGTAATGCTCGCATTAGTGCTTGGCGGCAGAAGTATGTAAGGTGGCAGTACTTTCCTGGACGAACTCTCTCTACTGCTCTTAAAACAGTTTGTGCTAAAGGACTTATATTCATAATATACCTATAATGCTCTTTGTCATTACGTTTATGTATGTTGTTAGGTTGAACACTATACAGCCAAGTCTTAATTAATTTTTAATTTTTATAGTTTTGAGTAGTCAGGTAAATCTTCGGTCCAATAAATTGTCTAAAAAGTATTGACAAATATAATAAACGCTTTTGTATTGATTGTTTTGTTTGCCATTTCGCCGTGTACATACATACATTTTGTGTCCCTGAGAAACGGAGAAATTTATTCATGGAAATCGAAAGGAAGAAAGGGTAGATTTAAGGTGAAGTAAAATATATACGTGCGTTTACTATACACGGTGCAGTTTTGTGAAGCGGATTGTATTATACGGGGGGGGCTGTGATCAACTGTACGGAGGAAAAGAACATATTTGTCTATTTAATTTATTCTTATTTATTCTTTTTATAGGCCTTTCAGTTGTTTTCAAAATCTGGCACTAAAAAGAAAACATAATTTTTGATGTCCTTTCTTCTTTCTTTTGTCTTTGGGATGAATAGATCATAGACAAATTTATGAATTTTTAACATAAATTCGCACTTTGGTCTGATCTTAGATAATATCCATACCAAACGAAATAAATTTCCATGTCCAAAACGAAATAAAATAATAAACGAAATAAAATATTATTATCTAAATCCCTACACCGGAACGGAAACATACGCCCGGTGTCTTGGTGGGGTTTATGGGAATATTCTTCTCGAAGCCTCCATTGCCGAATTTTGGCCAATTCTGTGCAAGCCCCCTGGGATTTACACTGAAGCTTTCTTACGGCAAAAATTATCAAAATTCCAAATGATAAATATCAGCGTGCTGTAGACTGTATTGTAAGAACGTCTATAGTGTTTTTCATGTATTTCTAATGTAAATATTGTAAGAACTAGAGAAATGCGTAGATTTTAATAAAGCTGTGAAGCAATGAGCAATCAATTTGATACATTTCTCTGTGTGCATTAGTTTGTTATAATTTAATTTTCTAATCAGTGGAAATTTCGGGAATAAATATTAATTTCCGTTCCACCAAGGGAACAGTCAGGAAGCCCTCGGTTGTAATTCGAATACACTTGTTTCTATTCACTCTATTTTACTATACTTACTTCGACGAATACTTAGTATTGACTTCTATAATTCAGGAGTTCCGCCTAGCGCAGACGTTGAATGCTTAACGTACGATTACAACGGACAAATATAACACAATACGATGCAGTTACTCTAGATTGAACAACAAGAGCTCGAGCTGTAACTACTGAGCAAAGAATGGATCTAACTTTTAGCTCATTGAAAGCACGCGGTGCTGCAATATAATGGACTACACACACCTGTATGCTTGTGAACGAACCATTGACGTCATCGCTGCGCACATGCGCGAGGCACTGCGTCGCGGCGACAGGAGTACAGGAGTCACAGCATTTCGCGGCACGCTCTTTCAGCGGGCACTCGTGTCTTTCACAACATTGGCAAACGCGGGAATACCGGTAAGTGACGACAACAACGTAATTTAATATAGAACTCGTTTGGGAATTATGGACTTCTTTTGATGACAAACGCCCAGGAACTTTGGCTAGTTTCCTTTGCGGTTTTTTTAAATTGTTTTCCTTTACTTACTACCGGCGTTGATTAAAAACTCCGCATTCAGACGGGAATTTGCTACTTTTTCTTTTTAACCTACAGGCTTTATTTGAAAATATATGAAATATTTTACTTTTGTGTCTATTACGTCCTTTCAATAGGTACTATTAAAGTTATTTTTGACGTCATAATTATAGATCCTACATACCAAGGCTAAAGTATTTAAACAAAGTTACCCCTTGTTTACGCGAGTTGTTTACTACGAATCGCATCATTTATTAGAGAAAGTACATTACGGCAAAGCCACGAAATCAAATGTACACACTGGCTGTTTTGGTTTTTTAAATCTTTAGTATATTAAAAAAAGTTTGAGCGATCTATGGTCTCTGCTTTTACAAGAAACTTTTTTCCTGTTTACATATGCATAACATAAGACCCAATGCAAAAACTAGGGGATTTCTATTTATCTGATTTAATCGGGTAGAACCATCCCGATTAAACCAGTTATATATTTTTTTATAACATCAAGTGACGGGGCGAACAAGTCGTGCGCCTGATTGTAAGCTACACGCCTGTTCATAACTGTTGCAGTGCAACTCAGAGTTCTAAATCGCATTGATATGACGGGCACTGTTGCTGCGTCTCTCACCCTGAGACATAAGTTGACAAGTCCATGTGCCTGTAATTTCACCAGGACCCTTAAAACCGGAACGCAGTTATGCTCACATTACTGGTTGGCGGTAGAAATAGGTAAGGTGGCAGTCCTTCCCTGGACGAACTCTTTCACAAGGAGCTCTACCGCCACTAAAATGTTCATGTACATTATTTTTAGCTGTTAAAAAACCCGTTTTTTTCCCAGTTATCTTACAAATTTTCTTACAAAACTATTTTTTCGGATTTTTTATTTATCAACCTAACCAATGTTTCTGGCCCTTTACAGGTCCCATAGACACGGTTGACTGAGATAGTAAAGTCGTCAATCAGTTACGTCTAACATTAATGTAAACGACCCTATTTTTCACAATAGTTACGAAGTTATTAATTATTTCTCTTTTAGAATTGGAATGTCCAAATTTGAACATTCCAATTTACGCTACGTATGTTTTGCAAATTATTTTATTATATTTTAACAACATGAATAACTTAAAACGTATTAATGAATATGTTGTCTTTTTTAATTTTGAATTTGATTATTGTTAATGCTAAGTGCCCAACAAACTATGGAAACATTAAAATTACCCTCTGAAATTCACAAATCTTAAAATGGTCACGAGCCACATCCACCCTCGACGATAGGCATAAAACTATTCGTATAAATACTTCAGGAAGGAAACCGTAAAGTTCGAAGTCGACAGGCCTTCTGTAATACGTTTTGCAAGATGTTACCATAATCTGATTTGCTATGGTTTCTTATCGGTCATTCTTGTGAATTATTTATAAACCGGTTTACTGGTCCTTTTTACGGTATTAGGATCGATGTCAACAGGGACTATGTATATATACGCTATAATAAAAAGATTCCCGTTGATATTCAAATATTGCTATTTACGAGGTTGAAAAGTATCAGTCAACCGTGACCATGGGACCTGTAAAGGGCCCGAAACGTCGGTTTGTTTGAAAAAACAAATATACGCGATTTAAATCCGGAAAAATAGTTTCATTCCTATTTGAAAAGTATCGTTAAGTAAAAATTTGAAACTAAGGATTATCAGCTCCTGCGTACAAAATGGTAACGCGTTTATAAAATACATA